GGAAAGAGACGCTGACCCCCCCCCCCCAAGTGAGAAGGCTCCTCCTTAGTTCTCCAGACTATGACTGCTCCTGTGAAAGTGCATGGAAAAGATGCCTGGATCCATTGTAGAAGAGAAAGAAGACAAGCACTACAAGGAAGGAGTCCCCTTCCCCAGAAGCAGATGATGAACTCTGTGGGAGCCATGCATGCCGTCATGACCCCACCGGGTTGCCACATTCTGCTGCCACCATCCTGGACTTAGCGTCCCTTGAGAAGGCACCCTCCCAAGTCCAACCGAAATGCCCCCTTTTAGGCCGAGAAACATAGGTGTGATGACCAGGCAGAGAACACTAATCAAAAGGGTTTATGGATACAGTACTGGTGGGGCAATGAAAAAACAAGGTGCTTTATAATATACTAGAAATAATGCCCGTTGCGGAAATAAATACAACGGGATCTAGAAAGAGGCTCTGGGAGAGTGCTCTGGCTTTGGGCAAACAGTGTCAGTTTCCTGTGGCGACCTCAGCAGGGTATAATGACAGAGTGCACTGTTTTCTCCAGAGGGACTGATCTGTGCTACCTGAAGAGCATTTGTATTTTTGAGTTATCTGTAGCCCTCACCTGGAGAGTGGTAACAATTGTTACCCAGGCTCCACCCCTCAAATCTCCAGGGATGTCCATAGGTAAAGGTGGCAATGCACCAAACAGAGGGGGACAGAGAGGGGGGAAGAAGGTAAGAAGGGGGTTGGAGGGAGGGCTGCAGAAGCATATGCCGGCTTGTCTTGGTGTGCAGGCTGGAGAAGGGAGGGGGGGGCTGAAAACAATAATAAGGAGATCATGGTTGTTTTCAGGGAGAGTGTGTGACGGATGAAAGTGTGTGAATGGTCCATAATCCCCCAGGCAGCTTTTAAAACATGAACCTGGGACCTGCACACCACCAGAATACAGCAGGTTCCATATGCAACTGACATTCCAACTGCCTTGCGGGGGGGGGATTTTGAGGTGTGGAATGGAGTGAAGTCCAATCAGCTTCCATATGCAAAAGACCTTGAAACGCTGGGCGGGACTGCACAAAGCAGCCAGTCAACCCAGCCAGCGTCTTCTGACCCGGGCTTTGCCTTCTGATTGGTGGCGATATATGCTGAGGAGCAGTTCCATCAGCCATACACTAAGGGAGTGCATTTTAGAATTAGAACTTTGGCACCCACTACTCAAATATAATAAAGGAGAGATAAATTATTTTTTGGTTTCCAACTCTACAGGACTGCTTTTGTGTTTTCTCAAATTGGCCAGGGCAAACACAATCAGGGACAGAGGTTCTGTCTTACAATACTGAGAACGTCTAATGCTCCACTCAAGTCATGTTTCTGTGTTTCACCCAAGGAGATTTCTCTCCACTCCTTGAATAGGTGAGTTTCTGACACGTCTTTGCCAGACTCACTGTCTCCACCCGAAATCTGTTATTTGCAGAGCCACAACACACTTGCTCCGCCCCAGACAGGGCTTATCAGACATGTTTTCTCTTCAGTATCTCACCAGTTTTCAGCTAACTCTCCTGTCTAGCTTCACTCCAACTCCAACTGACCCACTAACTCCTTCCGACTTGAATGTTTAAACAGCTCAGTGTTCCATTCCACAGAAAGCTGCCTTCACCCAATCAGAATAAGCTCCATGAGCTATCATTTGTCAGCTAGTTCACCCTTTTCCCAGCAGCATTGCCTAAAAGCCTGCAACTGCTTGCCGCCCGTCACATAAGGTTAAGCTGAAAACCCAGAATTCACTCAAGAGATGATCACTCAGCTCAGGGTTTGCCTTGTCAAATGTGTATATGTCTCATGTCTCAAGTCATTTCTGACTTACGGCGACCCTGTGAATGAATGACCTCCAAGACAGCCTTGTTCAGGTCTTGCAAACTGAAGGCCGTGGCTTCCTTGATTGAGTCAATCCATCTCATGGTGGATGTTCCTCACCGCCTTCAACTTTTCCTAGCAGTATTGTCTTCTCCAGGGACTCCTGTCTTCTCATGAGGTGATCAAAGTATGATACCCTCAGTTTAGTCATTTTGCTTCAGTTTGGTGTAGTGGTTAAGTGCGCGGACTCCAATCTGGGAGAACCGGGTTTGATTCCCCACTCCTCCACTTGCACCTGCTGATGTGACCTTGGGTCAGTCACAAACTCTGGCACAGCTATCCTTGAAGAAGAGAGTTTGTGCAGGGTTCTCTCAGCCCCACCCACCTCACAGGGTGTCTGTTGTGGGGAGGGGAAGGGAAAGGAGTTTGTAAGCCGCTCTGAGACTCCAAGTGAAGGGCGGGGTATAAATCTCCAGAGAACAAATCAGAATCAAGCCACTATGTCTTTATTCATATACCTCGCAGAACAGTCGTTCCCTTTGGCTAATTAACCAACTTCAACCCATGGTTTCAGATTCCGGCTTGACGGATTCTAAGGACAGCTAGTGGAGTGGTCTGCTTTCATACTGAGCTTCATTAAAGCATGGCTTTACATAGTGTCTGAATGGAGTAGGTTCATTCAGAAATCAACTAGGTTTTCTCCGTACAGGGAACGAATGCTGGGAAGGGCTGGAGTCCTACGTGCAGGGAAAGAGGAGTGCCAGAGGAGACTCTTCCATAGTAGGTGGGTCACCTTCAGATATCTCACTGCAGCTAATCTTCCCTTCCCCTTCCCAACTGCTGTAGAAATACCGGTGGTGGAAAGTGCCATCAAGTGACAGCAGACTTATGACAACCCCAGGGGTTTTTTCAAGGCAAGAGACGTTCAAAGGTGGGTTGCCCCTGTCTGCCTCCACGTCACAGTCCTGGTATTCCTTGGAAGTCTCCCATCCAAATACTAGCCAAGGCCGACCCGGTTTAACTTCAGAGATCTGATGAGCTCAAGCTAGGCGGTAGAAAGATTAGGGGCCAAGGAATACTGGAGATAAAGCAGAGGGGCAAATCCCAGCTAACGCTGCTGTTTCCCTGCAAGTAGGACATCAAGTCCCTGTTCAACACTTCTTGCCTGCAAGGAGCCTTCAGTATTCAACAGGTTGAGCTGGGCTGCTTTTCTGGTGGCAAATATAACCAAACCCCCATGAACAGCGAGGACAGGTTTTCAAGACTTCCTTTGTGGGTCTAGTTGAATACCGATTTACATGCATTTTTCTCTGGATGATGCCCAGCACTCATCCTGGCTCACCTGCATCACAACAGTTACGATTAAACACTTACTTGGCGATCAAGCGGTCTTTAAGTTCTCCAGTGCCCAACTGTCCAAAAGTGCCGGCTCCCCAAGAGAAAACCCTTCCGTTGCTGCAGACGGCTAGCGAGTGCTCCTTCCCGCAGCTTACGTGGACGATAGTCTGTGCTTCCAGCGCTTGGATTTGTTCTTTCAGGGGGACAAAATAAAAGTATTTATATTTATTGATCTAGAAGGACATGTTAATATACCCTGTGTTTCTGGCTACACAGGGTGGAAGGAGTACAGGATTTAATGGCCACTGAGAATGACAGCTTCCTTTGTTCATGCTCATAACACAACAAACTTCTACTTGAACACACATTGTAAACAGAATCACGATAGCTCAGGCGCAACAGCTTTTGCTACATGGGGACAGGCTTGTGTGGTTTCCCCATCACTGCTGATATTGCACAGAAGCAATGAGGGGTTCCATATGGCAGGTTTCCTTGCATTTTTCCCAGTTCCAGCAGTGGCCACTGGTTTTTCAGAGTTTTTAAAAGTAAGTCTCTAACCCCTTTCAGGCAGCACAGTACAGCCACACTGCATCAGATCTTGGAAGCTAAGCAGGGTCAGTACTTGGAAGGGAGACCACCAAGGAAGACTCTCCAGAGGAAAGCAATGGCAAACCACCACTGCTTCTCACTTGCCCTTGCTGCAGTTGCCATAAGTCGGCTGCAACTTGATGACACTTTTATTTTATTATTTACTTTATTTTTCACATTTATATTCTGCCCTCCCCGCGAACAGGCGTGATCACGGCAGATCACAATTTGCACTTAGGCCTTGCAGCATTACAACAAAAGAGTAATAATAGTAATTCATTAAAACACCATTAAAACAAGACACGCCAGTTTGTACAGTCCCCAGTATTGCTGTTGCTGAAATCCAAGATTGTATAGACTGGGCTACCTAAAATGGTATCTTCAGCAGGGGGGGAAGCTTTTTTCCTGGATGCCTGTCGCCTCACCCAAAGGTCTGGAGGAACAGCTCCGTTTTGTAGGTCCTGCGGAATGGTAACAAGATCCCGCAGGGCCCTGATCTCACATGGGAGCATGTTCCACCAGGCCGGGGCCTGGAGTTTCCAGATCAACTGCAAGGGCAAGCCTGCGTAAAGCGAGTTACAGTAATCAAGCCCGGAAGTGACCATTGCATGGGTCACTGTAGCCAAGTCCTGGGGGGGAGAGGTAAGGGGCCAGCTGCCTGATCTGTCAAAGATGGTAAAAGGCAGACCTGGCAACTGCAGTGACCTGGGCCCCCATGGTGAGTGAGGCACCCAGGAACAGTCCCAGGCTCCTCGCCTTCTGGACTTTACACACACACACACACACACGCACACACACACAAGCCCCTTTCATTGCAAACATATACTGGGAGAGGCATACCTCTACAACGAAAGGAGTTAGAACCCCCCCTTTTTTAAAAAAAGAAAGCTTCAAATTCAGAGAATTTGAATGTTATAATGTCAGAACGCTATTACCCTTTTTAAAGAAAGCTTCGAATTCAGAGAATGTGAATGTTATAATGTCAGAACGCTATTACATGGCTATCACCCACCCACCCCTGTGGTGGTGGTGGTCAATGTTCCCTCTAAGCTGTTGAGTCTTGTGAGCAGAAATTCTGCTTTGTGAGCTACTGGCATTAAAATTGTGAGCAAGCAGTTTGGCTACTGCATAAATTAGTTTGCTCTGTAGCCATCCCTTCCGGAGCTAAGACAAAAATGTGTGAGCCGGAGGCTAAAAAAATGTGAGCTAGCTCACATTAACTCAGCTTAGAGGGAACACTGGTGGTGGTGGTGTTTGTTCTTAGGGCTCACATTTAGTTAATGATTTTTGTCTGTCTTTGATTCTCTTATACCTTATTTTCTCATGTTTGATTATAGTACTTTAAAAAAAGTTTTGAACTAGAACAGTAAGTGGCTATTGGCTGGGAAAGCAAGGTGTTCACATTGGTCCTGGTATACATAAACTCCTGATTTCCCCATAACATCAGAAGCCTGGGCCCTGGAAGTGGCGAATACAGACCATTCACTCACTTCTCCATACCGTGTGGATGGTTGCCATCCCTGGGTTAGGAAATACCTGGAGATTTTGACAGACCTTCTGGTCTGCAGCTCAGTGTCTTAACCTCTGAGCTACCGTGGCCCTTTCACATATTTTACCGACTGCCTTAATCCAATCTCAGCTATAATCACCCAGTACTTATGCATCTTGCCTCTAAAGAGCCCCTCCTTGCAACTCCCCCCCCCCACACTCCTGTATGTAATGGCTGAAATTTTGTTTCACGGTATCTGAAGCAAGTGTGCTTGCACAAGATAGCTTATAGCTTGAATAAAACATTGTTGCTTTTAAAGGTGCCGCTGGACTCCAACTTTGTTCTGGAATAGGTTTTGTTAAGTCTTTAAAGTGATAGTGGACTACTGTAGAACAAAGTTGGAGCCCAGTGGCACCTTTAAGACCAACAAAGTTTTATTCACAGTATAAGTTTTCGTGTGCAAGCCCACTTCCTCAGATACAGTGGAATGGAATCTCCTCAACCATTACTTATAGGGGGTGGGGCGGGGGTTGTTGTCAGGAAGGGCCATTTAGAGTCAAGATGCATAAGTACTGGGTGATTATAGATTGGATGTAAGAAAGATCTGTGAATGGCACTAAATTAGCATACAAATGGGATTCCTGGCTCCCATTATTTTTAATGGGCCTTCAAGCCTCTCCCATTGTTTCCAGTGGGCAATGCTGTCATTGATTTTAGTACATCCCCGTACAAGAGTTAACAAACAGATATGGGCACAAGGTTTGAATCCAGTGGCACCTACAAGACAAATAAAGTTCAAGTGAGAACTTGAACTTAGTAGGTTCACTCCTTCAGGTTCATTGAAACAGATTTCCTCAAATGTTACATAAAGGTAGGGGGGTTAGTTGTTAAAGTAGTTAAAGTGGACTCCTGTCTAAATCATCAGTTGCATAGGGGATGCTAATAAGTTCTTAAATTACTTATATGGATATGGGATTTTATAATGGACTGTTTTAAAATGGTTTTATGATAAATTCAACTGTTATCTATGTATGTACTTCTCATGTAATCCACTCTGAGCCTGCCTCCGCGGGGAGGGCAGGGTATAAATTGAATGAATTAATTTCAGGGGAATGTTGAAAATTTTGCTATGATATGCCCTGTTAGAATGGGACAGTGGCATGCTGAATACCCCCAACAAATGGGCCACCCCCTCCCTCTCTTCCGCAACCCACAGGCTCTGGCTTTATCTGCGGCAAGGGAAGAAATGACCCCGACACCTCCGCATGCCTGATCGGACATTAAAGCACTGGGCGGCTGCCTATTAATAGTCATTACGCATAGGGGCCCGGGAAGGAAGGGAAACCGAAAGTAAACGTGCAAGGAGCGAGATGCCAGAAATGGAAACTGAAACTTAAGAGCGCTGAAACAGGGCTCCCCCCCCCTCGCGGCCGATCAGCAGCGGATTCCCACCCACCCGCACCACCCCCCGACTAGAAAAGGGTGGCGCAGCGAAAGAAGCCTCTCTGTCTGTCTGACAGCTGTTGCGCGAGAGCCCCGCCTGCGAGGCAGAGGCTGCCCGGCCAAGCGTCACTCGCCGAGAAGACAGTCCGTGGCAGATGTCGCCACCAGGGAGGGAAGCACCGCTGTCTCCCGGGCTGCCTCCTTCCCAGGCCCGGCGCTGCCTGACGGACCGCGGGTCTTTTTGCGGACCGGGCGAGGAGGGATGGAGGCTGCCGCCCGCGTCCCCCGAGGAGGGTCCGCCTTCGCACTCCAAGGCGCAAAGAGAGCTGCGCGCGCGGGGGGGGGGGGATTCCTTCGACGGCCCTTGAGAGCGCCCCTCCCTCCGAGTCCCTCTCGGCCGCCCCATTCTTCGGGAGGTCTGGGCTGGGAAGGAGGGGTGTGTGTGTGGCTGAGACGTACCTGGCCGGGAGCTGCGCTGCCGCCCGGCGGGGAGCCTCCTGCCCAGCTGGCCGCGGGCGTTGTCCCCGCAAGAGGAGACGCCGCCGTCGGGGTGGAGGAACAGCGTGTGCCGCTCCCCGCAGGCCACCAGCACCACCCCGCGCCTCCAGAGCGCCTCGGGGACGGGACGCCCGGGTAGCCCCCCCCCCCCCCCAAGACGCGCCCTAGACAGCCCAAGGACCGCCCTCCGAATCCTCGAGGGAGCCCAGCCTGGCCTGGCCCCACCCACAAGAGCGGCCCCTTGGCTCTCAAAGATCTTCGTGATTTTTTTGCACGGATCGCCAGCAATCCACACAGCACGCCTTTTACATGGAATCCGGTCAAACCCATCATGACAAACACAGATAATATCAACAGCAATGGATTACACCATAGAGACGTGGACGGGGCGCACCGGGGTGCTACCCCATTCCAGTTAAATGCCTAGATTTTTACACTGCAGTTTAAGAGCAATGCAAAAACAGAATCACGCTCAGGTGCACAGATTCCACTGCAAAGAACCTCCTAGTTCCCCCCCCCCCCCCCCAAGAGTCCCCCAGAATTTACCCCCCCAAATCTCCAGGGATTTCCCAGCCCAGAGCTGGCAACTCTAAGGTTGTCAAGGTAGTAGAAAAGAGTAAGAACCCAGTGGCACCTAAGGACTAAAAATGTGGTAGAGTATGAGCCTTGGTGAGCCACTGCTTCAGATAAAGTTCATGGTTTTCAGATGGAGACCACCACCAAACTAGCTACCAAAAGGAACCTCCTGTCTCAGGTTAATTCAGTTGCAAAATAAATATTTGGGGGGGGGGAGCCCTGTTAGAAATGGTGTTCGTATGCTAGGAATTCTCGTTCTAAGTTTCTTGGCCAAAGATTTTCAGTGTCAGTGTAGATGTCTAAATGCTACAGTGGTGGCTAGCTAAAGTCAGTGGTTGCTACTGGTCATACTTGACAAAACAGGAGAATCCATTCACAGGACCCCCCATTTACATTTTTTTAAATTTATTCATCTACGTTATTTACAGTCCATCTTTGTCACTGGGACGCAGGGCAGATGACACAGAGTGAGTCAAGACCATCAACAGGACGGGACATTCAATAAACAATGAAATGGGATTTGGGTTGTCCCTCTAAGCTGAGTTATCGTGAGCTAGCTCACATTTTTGTAGCCTTTGGCTCACACATTTTTGTCTTAGCTCAGAAAGGATGGCTCCAGAGCAGACTAAATTTATGCAGGTGCCAAATCGCTCGCTCACAACTTTAATGCCGGTAGCTCACAGAGTAGCATTTTTGCTCACAAGACTGCAACAGCTTAGAGGGAGCATTGGTTCCGACCAGAAGTTGAGACATTCAACCTGTGCTGCGCCAGCTGCACTGGCTCCCAGTGGACTACCGGATCAGGTTCAAGGTTTTGGTACTGACCTTTAAGGCCTTGAGTGGTCTGGGACCTACGCATCTTCGGGACCGCCTCCTCTGGTATGTCCCCTGAAGAGTTTTATGCTTTGCTGGAAATAATCTGCTGGCGATCCCTCGCCCTAAAGGCATCCAGCTGTCCGCGACCAGAGCCAAGACTCCTTCCTGGTGGAACTCTCTGCCAAATCCCTGCCCTGTGGGACCTTATGCAGTTCTGCAGGGCATGCAAAGCAGAGATGTTCCACCGAGTTTTTGGTTGAGGACAGCAGCAGGTACCATCTACCTGCCACCCCACCCCCCCACTCTGCTTTCTCCTGCTTGTGGGACAGTAATGCGTATTACATTTATTTTGGCGCTACCTAATGTTCTTTAATTTTAATTTTCCTGTTTTGGTTTTATATATATAGTGTTATTGGCAACCGCCCTGAGCCCTGTGAACTCCGGAAATGGCGGTATATAAACTGAACATACATAAAAAAGTAAGTCTAGAAACCAGAACTGAAGCCAAGCATAAGTGTTGACAGTGATGCAAAAGTTGCACACCAGGAGCCAACCCACAGCAAACTAACCACAGAACCACCGTCCCCAATAATGGCACAACGGAGAAGGCATACGTATGGCCAGTTGTTGACTTTGCATTTGCTGGGCCACAGTGCTGGGAAACATGCCAGGATTAAGCCAACCAGGGAACAATGCTAATGAGTGCCATGGCATCTGCAGGCACTGTGGTGGGGACTACTGGTCAACACGATCAGGTGATTGACTGTGTCTTTGGACACAGCTGCCCCCGTTCAGCTCAGAGTTGTTTTAGCCAACAAGTCTTGCCAGGCAAAGGACGAGGAGGGGAGTTATTTGTGAATTTTCTGCATTGTGAAGGGGTTGGACTAGATGACCCTGGAGGTCCCTTCCAGCTCTACGATTCTGTGTGCTCCGGTCTGTTCCCAATATTTAATTTTTACCTGAATGTGGAATAAAAATTGCAAAGCTTTAAAAGAAAAGTTCATATAGGAGCCATTTCCCTAAAGAAATCCAAACTTACATACATAAACCTCACACTACAGAGACAGCTACTCCAGAGATAACAGAATCATAGAATCATAGGATTGGAAGGGACCTCCACGGTCATCCAGTTCAACCCCCTGCACAATTCAGGAAATTCACAAATACCTCCCCTCCACGCCCTCAGCGACCCTCGTTCAGACCCGTAGTTACAGGTGGGGCATCTTGGGGCTGCCCCCCCCCCAATTTACTGCCTGGGCCCCCCTTTTGCTAAGCCAGGTGGAGAGTGCTGCTGCTGTTGCTGCTGAGTAGTTTACAGCCTCCCTGCTATCAACAGTGGGAGTGCCAGCCAAAAGGAGAGCAGGTGCTGGCGGAGGGGTGCGTGTGCACCTGCTCTGGCTCTCCCTGCCTACCGCTCAGCCATGGCAAAGCCCGAGGCAGGCACGCTGGTTGGGCAGGTGGCTGGCCAGTGCTGGCTGCCCTTCCTCCCTCCCTGGGTGGTGGGTGAGGCAATGAGGCCGGGCAGGCGGTTGGGGACTCTGACGGGCCTACCCTGCACAAGGATGGCACAGAGACAGGGATGGGAATGTGGTGCAGTCGGACTCCAGGGAGGGTAGTTGGGGGAGGGGGACACGCCGCTTTCCCTTCCCTTCATGGTACTTGAACCTCGTTTCAGGCTGTGTGGCGGGGGGGGGGCTCAACCCTTTGCTTTGCCTCTCCCTTAGCAGCTTGCATGAGAGACCGGGGCCTTCTACGAGGTGCTCCCAGGCTTGGGGTTTGCAGGGGTGCCCCCGACTAATTTAAAGGCCCCCGAATTAAAAAAAGATCCTGGCTACGGGCTTGCCCTTGCTCCATGCCCAGAAGATGGCAAAAAACCTCCAGGATCCTTGGGGGCCAAACTTTGGCTAAGCCAGGTGGAGAGTGCTGCTGCTGTTGCTGCTGAGTAGTTTACAGCCTCCCTGCTATCAACAGTGGGAGTGCCAGCCAAAAGGAGAGCAGGTGCTGGCGGAGGGGTGCATGTGCACCTGCTCTGGCTCTCCCTGCCCACCGCTCAGCCATGGCAAAGCCTGAGGCAGGCTCGCTGGGTTGGGCAGGTGGCTGGCCAGCTGGTGCTGGCTGCCCTTCCTCCCTCCCTGGGTGGTGGGTGGGGCAATGAGGCCGGGCAGGCGGCTGGGGACTCTGACGGGCCTACCCTGCACAAGGATGGCACAAAGACAGGGATGGGAATGTGGTGAAGTCGGACTCCAGGGAGGGTAGTTGGGGGAGGGGGACACGCCGCTTTCCCTTCCCTTCATGGTACTTGAACCTCGTTTCAGGCTGTGTGGCGGGGGGGGGGCTCAAACCTTTGCTTTGCCTCTCCCTTAGGAGCTTCCCTTGCTCCCTGCCCAGAAGATGGCAAACAACCTCCAGGATCCCTGGGGGCCAAACTGGCCTGGAGAAAAATTGCTTCCTGACTCCACAGTGGTGATCAGAATTTCCCTGGGCGAGTAAGAAAAGGCCACAAGAACGAAGCACTGATGCCACTCTTTTTGTCCTCCCTTCTTGTGATCTGTCTGAGAATCAGCATTGCTGTCAGATGGCCATCTAGCCTCTGTTTAAAAACCTCCAAAGAAGGAGAGCCCACCACCTCCCAAGGAAGCCTTTTCCACTGAGGAACTGCCCTGTCAGGAAGTTCTTCCTAATGTTTAGCCAAAAACTCTTAATTTCAACCTGTTTGTTCTGGTCCGACCTTCTGGGGCAACAGAAAACAACTCCATACTATCCTTTATATGACAGCCCTTCAAGTACTTGAAGATGGTTATCATATTACCTCTCAATCATCTCCTTTCCAGGTTAAACATTCCTTCCTCCTTCAACCTTTCCTCATAGGACTTGGTCTTCAGACCCCTCACCATCTCTGTCGCCCTCCTCTGAACACATTCCAGCTTGTCTGTATCCTTCTTAAATTATGGTGAGCAAAATACTCTAGCTGAGGTCTAACCAAAGCAGAGTAAAGTGATACCATCACTTCATGTTATCTGGACAATTCTGTTGATACAGTTCAAAATGGCATTTGCCTTTTTAACTATGGCATCACAACTGCTGACTTATGTTCAGTGTATGGTCTACTAAGACCCCTGGATCATTTTCACACACAGTACTGCCAAGACAAGTCTCCCCCATCCTATAATTATGCATTTGATTTTTCCTACCTGAATGCAGAACTTTACATTTATCCCCATTGAAATTCATTTTGTTTTAGCCCAGTTTTCCAGCCTGTCAAGATCATTCTGTATCCTGACTCTGCCTTCTACAGTATTTGCTACCCCTCCCAATTTAGTATCATCTGCAAACATTAATAAGCATTTCCTCTAGTTCTTCATCCAAATCATTTATAAAGATGTTGAACAAAACAAGTCCACGGACAGATCCTTCAGGCACTCCACTTGTCACTCCTATCCAAGGAACCATTCACAAGCACTCTTTGTGTGCGATCTGTCAACCAGCTACAGATCCACCTGTCATAGGATCCAAACCACATTTTTCCAACTTGTCAACAAGAATATTATGTGGAACCTTATCAAAAGCCTTATTGAAATCAAGATAAACTATATCTACAGCATTCCCCTGATCCAGCGGGGTTGTAACTTTCTTTAAAAAAGGGGTACGGTTAGTCTGACATGACTTGTTCTTGAGAAACCCATGCTGGCTCTTAGTAATCACAGCCATCCTTTCTAAGTGCTCAAGGAGTGACTGATGGAGTTGTTCTAAAACTTTTCCAGGTATAGGCATCAAGCTGAGGGGTCAGTAGTTAACTGAATCCTCCTTTTCCCCTTTCTTGAAGATGGGGACAACATTTGTCCGCCTCCAGTCTTCTGGCACCTCACCTGTTCTCCAAGAATTCCCAAAAATAATGGACAGAGGCTCAGAAATTACATCCATGAGTTCTTTTAGTACCCTTGGATGCAGTTCATCTGGCCCTGAGGACTTAGTTTTGTTACACGGATTGCCTGAGGCAGTACACGTGTACAAGGGTTCCTTATACTCTATGTATACGAGGGTCAAATTGTGAGAGATACCAGCGGAAGGAAGAGACCTTTAATTGAATAAATAGAGTTTTATTGTGAATAAATGCAAAGTTCATACAACGCACTCATGCAAAAACTATAACAGATCAACGCACACAGAGCAAGGAAACAGGTGATAAATAGTGACAAGAAGAGGGTTGATTTTGGATATTGATTTTGGCAATATTCACCTGATCCTGGAGTCCGGAATCCCCATGGAAGGAGGACATGGCCAGCCAGCAGTTCATGTCAAAGGCTCAGAGTCTGAGGGTACACTCTTATCAGTGCCAAGATCTGGACAAAAATTGAGGGTCAACAGTGGGAGGGCTTCTAATGTCCTGGCCCCACTGGTGGACCTCCTGATGGCACTGGTATTTCTGGCCACTGTGTGATACAGAGTGTTGGACTGGATGGGCCTTTGGCCTGATCCAACATTGGCATCTCTTATGTTCTTATGAGGCGCAGAGTGCCACTTTATGGGTGCGTTCAGACGGGGCATTTACAACGGTATACGTGCCGGTTGGAATCAGTGTATTTACCGGCATTCACACATAGAACATCTGCCTTCCGTCCCTAACCGTTGCAAAGAGCTTTAAACTGGTGTATTCTGCCACCAGTTCCATAACTGGTGGTATTCTGAGTGCACTGGTTGTAACCACTTGCTCTCCACTGTTGTAGAGCCATTCGGAAGCCCGAGGCTTCCGCTTTTCGCCCACCATTTTTTTTTTGTTAGGTCGGCGATATGCGCTTGGCTGAAGCTTCGCGTTTGTTTTAAAAAAAGAAAAGAAAAAGGTCCTTAGTTTAGGGTTTTAGAGTCCGGGACCTCAGGGAGGCCAGTTTGGTCATTAAACTTTAAAGGTAAGTCCTCTCTTCGGGGCATGCTTTTCGGGACGGGGTGTTTTGCGCATGCGCGAAGATCGCCATTCTGTGGATGGCTGCCTATGTGCATGCGCAAACTCAGTTAAAAAAAATGCCGATGCCCACTGTGTGTGAAGGGGAATACAGCGATGGGCTCCGCAGACAGGAGGTAAGTGTGATTGCGTTTCAGCCGGCATAAACTGCACCGGTTGGAACCGGTGCAGTTTATGCCGGCTGAAACGCACCCCGTCTGAACGCAATGTGGTTTGGGGAGCCAGAGGTGGGCTGGCCCAGCGTGTACTGAGTAGCCAGATTAAAACTGAGCATGTGCAGGATGCTTGGTTTTGACTTCCAAGGTTGGGAAAGTCACAAGTGTTTGTGTTTCTATGTATCAGTGGCTCGATGTGGAGTGGGAAAAGGGTGCTAGACTCTGGAAATGACTTCGAGGAGACAGTGCAGTTGACTAAGGTGATGCCAGGGTCATGGAAAATGGGATTAGGGGTTAGTATGGCCAGACTGGTGATCTCTGTTGATTGTAGCAGTCAAGAAATCCTGTATACGTGCCTGCTCACCAGGCTCCTGTGTTGGCTCAGTTTCTCCTGAGACTATCAAGCAGGTTCAAAATGGGAGTCTTTTCTGGCTCCAAGTTGCCTGCCTGTGACAGACCAATGTGAGGTGTGGGAGCCTGGTCTTGTTGCCTTGCTGGCTGCCAGGTACCTCTGGGTTTTCCGGAGAGAGTTTAGCACAGGTACCTCTGGGGAGGTAACAGTTTCATTTAAGGAAACTAGGTGTTTATCTACTACCCCCTATGTCGATCCTAGACTGTAACTCCCTTCCCTCATCATGTGTTCTGTTTTTGCCATGTTGAGCTCCATTTCCCTCACAAGAGAATACTGGGGGAAAGCAGGAATTGTGCAGTTCTACTCTCTCTCTTAATCACCTGTTACAATTTAACTTTCCTGTCCCCGCAATGGGCCTACTTTGTCCTTGCTCTTTCTCTTTGAACATAAGAAATGAACCTTTTGTTGTTGTTGTTTTTGACTAGCAGTTTTTAATGTCAAGTCTTATGAGAGCCAGTGTGGTTGAGGTGGTTAAAGTGTCAGACTAGATCTGGGAAACCCAGGTTTGAACCCCAACACTGCCACGAAAGCTTGCTGGGTGACCTTGGGCCAGTCACCCACAGCCTCACCTACCTCACAGGGCCGTTGTGAGCATAAAATGGAGGAGAGGAGAACACTGTAAGCCACTTTCGGTTCCCATCAGAGAGAAAGGTGGGACATAAATAAGTCTCAGTTTACAGAGAATTTGCCATGGAGGTGTGTAAAAAAAAGAGAGGATTGCAGTATTGCAACTTGCTCCTTCCAATTACAGCATTTAGAAAACATTGGAGAGCACAAGGCACACCCCTAACTTCAGCAGTCCAGACTAGTTTGATCTCATCCTATCTCAGAAGCTAAGCAGGGGTGGCCCTGTTCAGTATTTGGGTGGGAGACCACCACAGTTCCCTCTAAGCTGCACGAAATTTTAACAAGGCAGCTCAGGAGTTGTGAGCTTCTGCTCATGACATTTCCCCCCTCCATTGGAAGCAATGGAAGATGGGGGCAGCTCCTTCTGGGGCCCATACAATTGGGGCCCCCTGGTCCAAACTATGCCGTAAATTTGGTGCCTCTACCTTAAAAAAAAAAAAAGGAGCTGCGGTGGCTCAAGTGGTTAAGACGCTGAACTGCAGGCTGTGGAAGGTCGGTAGTTTATCAGTTCGAGACCCGAGTGTGCCGCATGACGGAGTGAGCTCCCGTCTCTAGTTCCAGCTCCTGCCAACCTAGCAGTTCGAAAGCAAGACATTGGAAGTAGATAAATAGGTACCACTTCGGTGGGAAGGTAACAGCGTTCCGTGAGCCTTGGTGTTTAGTCATGCCGGCCACATGACCACGGAAACGTCTTCGGACAGCGCTGGCTCTTCGGCTTTGAAACGGAGATGAGCACCACAACCCTAGAGTCGGACTCGACTGGCTTTCGAGCAAGGGAACCTTTACCTTTACCTAAAAAAAGCCCCCCCCCCAGTAGCCGATACCCCAAAAAGAGAAATGGTGTAGGCTGTACGTTTTCGCTTATAACTCTGCAACTGAAAGGGCTGTTATGTAGTGGGTAGCCGCATGGACGAACGACAGACAACGACGTGGTGCATAGCACGCTTTATTAGCACACAACAAGACATGCGGATCAACGGCCGGCAGGCCAACTATATACACACCTGGGGACCGCCCCTGGTCACCATTGGTGGGTTCAAATCTCCCGCCACGGATCCCATTGGTTCCCCAGTGGAGGGACTAGGATCCTAGTCCCCATTGTTGTTTCAGCCTGAAGCTTGGGCATGTGCGCTGACCTCCGGTGGCGGTCAGCGGACACTACACCCCTCCCCCCATAGTCCGGACCTTGCCCTAAGAAACATAGTCTTTCAGGTACGCTGGGGGCTGTCGTACCCTTGCTGAGCGTCTGGGTCCCTGTGCTGGGGCCTCGGGAGGCCTGACCTCCGGAGCGGGCGTTAAAGGTGGCGCCGGGGCTTCCGCGGCTGCAGGTTCTGGCTCAGGGGGCCTCTCTTCTGTAGACGGGGGCTGGGTGCTCCGGAGTGAGCTCTCTGGTGCAGGCGGGGTGATGTGCGGGGCCTCCGGGGAGTCCTCCTCTAGTTCGGTCTGCTGTCTCGGTACCTCTGCCTGCCCGTGATCTGGAAGCATTCGCCGCCTGAGCTGGTCGATGTGCCTCCTGAGGATCTGGCCGCATTCTGTGGACACCTCATACATGACGGTGCCCGTCGGCCTGACGATGCGGCCTGCGA